TTCCCAGGTCACCATTTCCCAAAGTTCTCTGGAACATTAATTATTTGAAATATTCTGGGACAAAACAAATTTTTTTTTGATGAGGTCAGGTTTTTTGGGGGGGGGGATCCCTGTATTGTATTATTTTAGAAAAAGCAGACAGGACAGGTTGAAAAAATGGAAGCAAAGTTTGAAGAAAATGACTTTGTGAGAAAAGTAAATTTCAGTCCTATATTGTATTCATGTATTGTGGGGACAGGTGGCTCTAACTCAGAGGATTTAAAAATTTATCCTCTCCTTGGCAAAGATACCCTTATATTAGAGAAAAGTACTTCTTAGCTATAAAATATTTCTTGAAAGCACCCAACTTGTTCTAATTCTAAGCAACCTTCTGAATATAATTTGTTTTCCCATGTAGATCACCCTAAAGAGAATGTCCTAGTCATAACACTGCAGTAATCACGATGATGACAACAGTTTCTTTTTCTGCAAGGTTAAGGTTCAGACACATGACTTTGCAACTACTGTGTTAATTGTATCAAGAGAGTACTATCCTGGGAGGTGTCTTGATCATCAGACAGCCCCTTTTGATGAAACCCTGATCTTCATCCTCCCTGGTTATACAAGAAACTTAAATCCTAATTGCAATATTTTGCACTATGTTCATTTGTGGCAGCAATTTTAATATGAATTAAGCAGGGTTTAAATCTCCAATAAATAAATTTGATTTTAGAAAATAAGATTTAAGATATAGAAATACCAAGATGCATCTTTTTTATATGCAAGTTAATTTACACTGTTTTGAATCCTCACTTTAACCCTTATTTTTTTATCAGCATCTAATTAGACCTCACCCTTATTGCTTTCAGAGTAAATCTTACAAGCTAGATTTCATTCAGCAAACATTTATTGATATATACTTCCTGCTAAACACCTGTAGGGACTCTTGCTTTAAAATTGGGAGCAATGGCTTAGTACTGCAGCACAGTTTACTAGGGCCATGGAGGCTACAACAGTCTTGAAGTAGCTGTTTGCCTAATTCGACTACATGTCATCATCTGTTCTTTTTATTTCTTCTCTTGGGTAATCAAAGTTATTCTTTGAACTTCACTGGGGCCCTTACTGTCTTATACTCTGCCACTGTCATTTCTGCCAGTGTCTTCCCTCCTCTCTTATAACCTAGCTTTTCTTCCATGTAAGGCTTTTCTGCTCCCTTATCCTTCAGGCCCCCTCTTCATCATAGGAAGCTGTGTAGTACAATGGTTAAGTAGTTGGCCTCTTAATACATATGCCCTAAATCTAAATCCAAGCTCTGTCGTTTACTAGATATGTTTTATTAGGCAAGTTACTTAACCCCTTCAGGCCTCAGTTTCCTCATTTGTAAAAAAGTAGTATTATAAAACTAGGACTTAACTCACAGAATTACTATATTGCTTAAATGAAAAAATATATGAGTAATAATTAGCATAGTACCTACTACATTCAGCTAATATTAGCTGCAATGATTATTATTTCTAAACCTAGCAAAAAAATATAAATAATCTGGTATAAACACACAGCTTGATTTCCCTGTAATATTTTCATGCTAATAAAATACTCTTATGTAGGCATTTGAATTTGTAGTCTTGCACTCTTCTTGATGTTATTTTTTAGTAAATTTATCTACACATAATTTTTGCTCATAGTTCTTTGTTCAGCTTACTGCTAGTTTTTTATAGGTCTGCTTTTAGTTTTTAAAATTACTGTTAGACCAATGTATTTTTAAAGTTTTCTGCCTAGTTTAAATAACAAAAATATCAGATCCTTTATTATATATACTACTTTATTAAATGAGTATACAGTTCACATTAAAATATGTACATATGTAATAGAAATTTGGCAATTTACACTCTCCTATAATGCCACTAATTCAAAATATGATCAAACTCACTTAATAGAATATTGAAAATGTAAAAAGTGTCAGAAAAGTGCACAATACATGAAAATATCCCTCTTACAGTGTTTTTGGAAAAGAAAATTATTAAGATAGGAAGTCATTGGAGACAAGAAATTGAAAAGGAATCACACACATTTCATATGTACTGTATGAGATGGTAAATTGGAGACAGATGTCAACTGAATAAGATGAATAAGGATGAAGTATACAAACATAATCTTACATGTGTCTTCTCAAAGAAAATGTGGAAGCTGATAGTAAATAGCTATTTATAAAGTGATAAATAGCGTTGTAGGAAGGCATTTTGTCATCCTTTTTCTAAGAGATATTCCTTATTTGCAAGTCTCCTCATATTTTTCAGTTGGATGTTGTACTTTTTAAATAGATTTCATTAGCTTCTGCAGTACACTCTAATAAGTAAATTGGTTTTCCGTAGAATACTAGGAACACTGCTCAGAAAGACATGCTGGACAATACTGGCACAAATACAAATCATTGTTAAACCAGAACCAACAGTAAAATGGATTTTGTTCCATGCCGACACATTTCCAAATAATTTATATTTTTACCTAAACTGAGCCAAAGAAATCCCCAGTTCCTTAGATTCTGTCAGCTTTGCCATGTAGTGATAAAACAAAACTTATTATGAAGAACTTTCAAGCTGGTCTAATTATTCAGATTTGGGGACCTATCTCCATCTCTTAGTACCTATTACCAAACTGTTATTTTTTTTTCACCTTTTTGCTTGATGTGGTACACTGTTTAAATTAATTAGTTTTAGGAAATCACATTCTCTTTCCCTAAAAAACTATATAAAATGTCTTTTTAGACATGTATCTTATTTGGTGAATTTCCCCCGCACAAATAGACTCATTGGAAACATCAGGTATCTCACTGTACTCTTTTCTGTTTCATTAATGTGAAATCGAAGATAAATTTGAAAGGGACTTTTAAATCGTAAGCCCTAAATAAGTACATTTTAAGTAATTTTAGTTATCACCAGCGCAGTTGATACTAATTAATCCATAAATAAAGAAATTTGGCCATCAGCAAGATTTTGCCCTAAAAGTATTAATAATATATAAGAACAAATTAGTATACAAAATTTGAATCTTTTTATAGTATTTTTATTCGTTGCTATAGCTCAGCTATTATGTACATATTGTGTACTATAGGCATTTTGTAATATGTTTGTTGGCAGATAAAAAATATGGTATATAATTCTAGATATTAAAATAATTAGGATGCAATTAAAATATGATTTTATAAATATATTTTAAGTCAAGAGTAAAGGGAAACTCTTTAAGGTAATATTGAAAATAATTATGGAATAAAATATCCCTGTTGTTTTTCTGTGTTCTTTATTTTTGCAGGGCTATGTTTGAAGTAAACATGAAAGAAAGAGATGATGGAAGTGTTACCATTACTAATTTGTCCTCCAAAGCAGTAAAAGCATTTCTCGATTATGCCTATACAGGAAAAACAAAAATAACAGATGATAATGTGGAAATGTTCTTCCAGTTGTCATCATTTCTTCAAGTTTCCTTCCTATCCAAAGCTTGCAGTGACTTTTTAATAAAAAGTATTAATCTTGTCAATTGTTTACAGTTATTATCTATATCAGATAGCTATGGCTCCACCAGTTTGTTTGATCATGCATTACACTTTGTACAACATCACTTTTCTTTACTATTTAAATCCAGTGATTTCTTAGAGATGAATTTTGGAGTACTACAAAAATGTCTGGAATCAGATGAATTAAATGTTCCTGAAGAAGAAATGGTACTGAAAATTGTCCTTAGTTGGACTAAACATAACTTAGAATCAAGGCAAAAGTATCTGCCTCATTTGATTAAAAAAGTAAGATTACATCAGTTATCTGAGGAGACACTTCAAGACTGTCTGTTCAATGAAGAGGATTTACTCAAAAGCACAAACTGTTTTGACATAATCATGGATGCAATTAAGTGTGTGCAAGGTTCTGGTGGACTCTTCCCTGATGCTCGACCATCTACAACTGAAAAATATATATTCATTCACAAAACTGAGGAAAATGGAGAAAATCAATATACATTTTGCTACAATATTAAAACTGATTCATGGAAAATACTGCCGCAATCACACCTGATTGATTTGCCAGGATCTAGTCTTTCTAGTTACGGAGAGAAAATATTCTTGACAGGTGGTTGCAAAGGGAAATGCTGTAGAACGGTTCGACTACATATTGGCGAGTCATATCATGATGCCACTGATCAAACCTGGTGCTACTGTCCAGTTAAAAATGATTTCTTCTTGGTATCAACTATGAAAACACCAAGAACCATGCATACATCAGTTATGGCTCTTGATAGATTATATGTTATAGGTGGAAAAACTAGAGGCTCCCGGGACATTAAAAGTCTCTTAGATGTTGAATCTTACAATCCTCTTTCCAAAGAATGGATATCTGTTAGCCCATTACCCAGAGGCATATACTATCCAGAAGCAAGTGCATGCCAAAATGTAATTTATGTTCTTGGATCAGAAGTAGAGATTACAGATGCTTTTAACCCATCGCTTGATTGCTTTTTTAAATACAATGCTACAACTGATCAGTGGTCTGAACTAGTAGCAGAGTTTGGGCAATTTTTTCATGCAACATTAATTAAAGCTGTCCCAGTAAACTGTACACTGTATATATGTGACCTTTCCACCTATAAAGTTTATAGTTTTTGTCCAGACACTTGTGTTTGGAAAGGTGAAGGATCTTTTGAGTGTGCAGGCTTTAATGCAGGTGCAATTGGAATTGAAGATAAAATTTATATATTAGGTGGTGATTATGCACCAGATGAAATCACAGATGAAGTGCAGGTCTACCATAGCAACAGGTCTGAGTGGGAAGAAGTTTCACCAATGCCGAGAGCCTTAACAGAATTTTACTGCCAGGTGATTCAGTTTAATAAATACAGAGACCCATGGTTTCCCAATCTATGTGCTTGAACATTCTAAAACAATTCCAGTTCTAGTAACCTAAAGTAAATTCGTTAACCAAAATGATAGGTAAAAAGGTCTATACATCTTAATGAAATAAAATGTTCCTGCTTTCAGTTACTATGTATGCACACTATATATGAATAAACTGTTTCTAAAAACTTAAAATACAAAATACATTTTACCAAAAATTATATTGAATATAACCGTGCAGAATCCAAAATACTTAGCATTTTCTCATGAAACTACAAATCATGGACTTTGACACTTTGATTTTTAAAGTACTCTGTCCATAAAAGATTTGTATTATTTAAATGGGAGAAATCTCTTGAGAGAGTTAAAATGAATTACTTGCACTGTATCTTATATGAAGTAAAAAATAAATTAGAGGTGAAAAACTTGTTACTGTAGGTATAAGAGTTGTTGAATTCCTATCATTTGTGATGATTGGTTAACTTCTTTTAGGTACCTTTTTTACCCTTTTTAAGTTCAGAAATATATTTTCCCAGCTTTATAAACTGTATACTAAACATAGTCCAACTTTTTTTAATGACTCATTTTTTCATTAAAAGCATAATGTACCATCTTATAATGCCATTAGCAGTTACTTAAATGCTTTTTAAAATGCTGATTCTATTAGTTTTCAGTATCAGTTGGTTTCAGTTTCTGGCAGTCTCTCTCATATTCTGGTTCAATCTTAGTAAATTAACATTCTGGATTTGATCAGTAGTTCTAAGTTACACCTGGCCTGAGTTTACGTTAACATGTAATCCTCAAGGGGAAAATTTTTGGATTCTGGGATGGTAGTACTAAAATACTTTTTATGTATCATTGCTAGATTCCAGCTTAAATGAGGATATGGAAAATTGACCTCTAATTAAGTGGTTCATTATAATTGCATTTCTTAAACTTTGTCCAAATTGAGCTACATAAAACATTTCAGGATTTAAATTAGTACCAAATCAATTTTCTGTGTTGATGTATATCAACTATAAAGCATCATGTTGGTTTGCTACTTAAGTAAATTATTTTTAGTGAATTACTTTCTAAATTTAAAAAAAAAAAAAAAAGGCTAGGCTTTTGGTATTGATAGTAGGATTCACAACCTGCATCCGTGTAGATGTTTGATCTTTACCTGAAATAATGAAAACGTATTGTCATTGTTCTCAGGTAGGTGATTCTGCCTTCTAAGAGTGTATGTTTCTTTAATCAGTTTAAAAGATAAAGGCATTTTAGGTTTTAAGACCCCTGCTTTACATCTCAGGTAATGTGTATATTGTATTTCTCTTGAACCAAATGTAGTTTTCTACACTCAGTTGTAAATGTTAATCTTTGCCAAATGTGCATATTCTTTAAAACTCTGTCTCTAAGTAGAAATATACCTAAATGAAGATTTTGTTATTTTACCATATAAATTTATGCAACCATAAGTTCCAAATGTATTTTTCAAAATGGAATGAAATATTAAAGTACATTTTCATGCAGTTTAAAAATCAAGGACTGTTTCTGATTAGAAGACAGGCGCATAAAGAGTTTTCTGTAAAATTGGTGGCCTTCTTATCTAAGCACATGAATTGATGGCTCTGCACTTTGTGTATTTAAAAAAATGGAAAATTCAGTGGAGCTTTTGTTTATGTGTATGGCTTTGAAAACAAATTATTTGAGAAAGACCATAACACAGTGAGTAACCTATATGTGGATTTACTGAACTGTTAATTTAAGCATATATATTAATAGAGTATGTTTAAAATAAATATTGTTTTAATCACTGACTTTAGGAATTGTTCATCTATTTCAGAAAGGAGACACCCAAAATCGAATCCCTTTTTGATATTGCTTCATCATTGCATCATCTTCTTGATTTCCACTACTGCTCTGATTGGCCTTTGCTTTATGCTAATATTTCCAGAAACATTCTTGTTATCAAGGCCTAGGTGGCTCTCTCTGCATTTGATATAATACATTTTTTTAATGCAAAAGGTTTTCTGCCTTCTTTTTTAATAATTGCTGTGGGTTACTTTTTAATCATTTTCACTGATTGCCATCCCTTCCTTCACATCTGTACCTTTGTTCTATCCACCAATTATCACTGCAAGAAAAAGACTCTGTCTATCAAAAAACCTCCAACTCTTTATTTTCTTTTTTCCTGGTCACCATAGCAATCGGTGCTAGACTCCTCTCCACTAACTCATCTCCTTTTGGATTTTGCCTCTCCTTATAAAGGTCGCACTTTCATTTGGTCTATATGCCTTATAGGAAAATGGTTTGTGTCTTCTAAGTCCTCAAGGAACTCAACCACACAGGAACAATGACTAAACTCTGGTTATATCTTCTGGTCTTGTTAATGACTGTGGCTTCACTGTCTAAGAACCGTATATATTATTCTGGCCTCACACTTCTTTCTGGATTTCTGACATGCGAATCTCATTGATCCCTCAAGTCTATTCTCAGTACCTCCAGAAGGAGCTATTTTTTCTGTCTGTAAGGTTAGGTAAGAGAAAATAACATCCTTTAATGGGCTCTTCCTTTAGTCTTTTTAAGTCTATTTTCCTTTCATTATATCCTTCAGCCAATGCTACAATGTAAGAGACAAAATAATTATGCTCATTATTCAGATTGCTATCATTCCTGTGGAAAAATTCTATTTAACATTTCTAAAGCCATTATCGTTTGTCTTGCTCCACTACATTTGCATTATGCATGCAAAAATATTTTAATATTGTAATGTCTTCTAAAATTGAAAGTAGATATATGGCATTATTAAATACAAAAAAGAGTATATTTAACACATGAGATCAATTCAAAGTTAATGGACATTCCTAAAATGTGGAGTACCTTTTGTTCAACTACACCCTTTGAGACTAAGTAGTGTGGGGAATATTTGCATAATCAAACAAAGTTAACTACATTCCCATAATTGGCCTTGGTTTGGGGAGTGAAGGAGGTCGTTATCACAGCAATATTCATTATGTGCTACCCTTGAAAGCTAGATTAGTATTCAGTAGTGACCGCATGCTGGAATATGATTCCATATTTCTCAGAAACCAAGAGGAGCAATTGAGTATATGTTCAGTGTGCTTATTAGCTCAAGGTATATCATTTGAAAATCAGAATTAAGCACAGAGGGATACATCTGTTTACATTTTGAGATTTGAATGCAGTAAATATTATAATATAATGATTAAGTAGTTCAATAATTTTACTTTACAATCATCATGCTCAGTTTAATTGGATCTAGTGTTGTGGAAACTCTTATTGAGAATTCAAAGTATAAATCTCAAAAATGTTATCTGAGGGGGCAGCTCTAAATGGCAATCTAAACACAAAGGCTGAAAATTATAGGGATCATATTTCTGTCCACTTTATAAAGTCATACTTTAGAATGAGACCACTTACCAAAAACTGTGGCATAGGGAAGATCATTAGATCAATAATTTCCTATATGAATTAGCATGACCAAAGATTTCTACATTCTACTTATAAATCTCACTCACCATCATTCTGATATACGTTTTCTCCTCCAACATATTTAACATTTTAGGCATTGTGAATAAGCTGATTTTGGTGGTTCTTGATACCCAAATTTTTTCCATAGGAGCTGAGGCTTAAAACTACACTATTTTTGGAACTATCTTATTCAAGAGAATTTTTTTTCTAATTAGAAAAAGTTTGTAAATGGTGCTGACATTTATAGTGAGCTGCTAGTTGGGATTTTTCCTTTGATATGCCATAGATGCATGTTCATTTCATAATGAGTAAAAACTGAAAGATCAGTACCTACAATTTTCTTCTGAATTATTTTTCTGCATAGTATTTATATGGCAAATATTGTGATTTTAGTTAAATATATAATTTGAAAGAATATGTCTTAAACATCTAGATGTGTTTATAAAATATACTTGATGACTGATGCTTGATCAAATTTAATATCAAAAGGGGGAATTCAATCACAGGAAAATACTATTATACGTTTACCAAAAGAAAGCTCTTCTAAATCATAGACTCATTCAAATTTGAAAATAACCTTGGAAGCTAATGCAGCTTGCCAACCTGATATAGAAATTTCCTTTAAATTCTAAAACATCCTGACATGCAATTTTTTTTTCAGTTCCTAAATTGATGTTTTCAGTAGTTAAGAATCACTATTTCCATGTTTGTTTGAAGTTTTTTTTTTTTTTTTTTTTTTT